TTGTTGCTGCAGGGAACAAAACATGTGGCAGGCAAAACAATTTAAGGCTGGGAATTAAAATTGTACAAGTTTCTGCTGTTTTTTATTAACTTGACAACTGGTAAAATGGAAATATGTGCAGGAATAAACAGGCAAAAGGAGCTGTAAAAGTTTGTTTTTACTTATAATGAACTGTGTGTGGCTTTAGGTTTTATCTATGTGCAATCTAATCACAAGCAGCAGGAAAAAGCAGTTCAGTTGATCTTTTAGGGAAAATGTGTAATTTGAATACGACTCTATGGGACTTCTTACATCTTTATCTAATTTGGTTTTATTTGCTAAAGAGTTGGAAATCTAAGTTATATGCTCTAAAGGTGTTTTAAAGGAGATGATAAATGGGAGAACAAGGAAGTGATTAGTGACAGGTCCTGGGTGAAAATTAACTAAGAGGACAAAGTTTTCTGTGATTAGCAGCAAAAAACAAAGAATGTGGCAAAGAGCTGGTGGATCTGGTTTGTGTAAGTAAATGTCAAATACGCGCAGCTGAAACTTAACTGCACACATAAAAGGATGTCACGAATGCAAAAAAACAACAACTATGAAATAGATCAAAAACATTCAAACTGTTTAACCCTAGCTAATTTATTTCTGCACAGCAAGAGTAGGAACATTTACCAAATACTTTTAAAAAAGTACAGTGCAGTAAAACTACTCTTAAAGGTAAATTACTAGCTACTACCCATATTAAATTAAACCCCTTTATGCATATTTTCTTTTTTCCCCACCATTAAACAATTATTGAATTTATATTTAAAAAAGTGTTGGGGGTTTTTTACCCAAGGTGGAGGTACTGGTCTGTGTTGGGTAAAAGATGGACCTAAAATCAACTAACATGTTTTAGAAAACACTTTTAGAAGTGGTTTCTCCACCTCTATAACCAGCGTCCATGTTTGCTTTTAAGCATTTCTGCCATGATAAAAACCTATCTGCAGATTTTGAATTATCATTAATTTTACAGATGAAAATAATTTGGAAAGGAAAATTCTTAATTTTAATGAAGCTGCATCATTTTACACACGGTGAGTGTGCAGACAGTTACTCAAAGTAAACCAAAACCTCACTTTTGTTTTCATAATTACCAAAGTATGAGGCTTATTAACATGTTGGCTTGACTGAGTGCAACATAATTGTTCAACAGTGAAATTAGTTGCGTACCAATAAATTTACCCCAATTTCCCTAATATTTTTATTGGGAGATCAGTGATCAGCTGATTCTTAAATGTGAAACTGATATTTTGCACCGATCTCAGCAAAGATCTAAAAACCAGCCACTGGCCTCCACTGCACTGCTGTGAGAGCAACCAGGTCATGTTTGCAGTCAATAGTCACACCACTGTTCCCACTTCAGCGACTTCCTTGATATATCGAGTGACATTTCAGATAAAAGAACTTTGGTATCTGTCGAAATCAGAATGGAGATCGGGTTTTTTAAAGATTGGCGATTGGCCGGAAAACTGCAATTTGTGCATCACTAAATACATACAACTTCCCAAATAATAGTGGTGGAGATGAAACCTAATCTCAGGTTGTTTTGGCAGCAAAATGGGGACAAACTAGGGGTGAATCGATTTATCAGGTAACCGATTTATTGGTGCAGATTTCCTTAATCTTGGGAGATCGGTGATTGGCTTATGTGAAGCCGATCTTACTCACTGATCTCATCTACCTCAGTAAAGGTCTAAGAATCAACCGCTGTCCTCTGCTCTCCTGTGAAAAAGGTTTGACTGACTTACCAGGTCATGCATGCATGTTTACAGTTAATAGTTAATAATAGTTGCTATATTGAGAAACATTTCAGATTAAAAAAAAAATTATATCGGCAAGTCATGCTTTTTAAAAGATCGGTAATCAGCGATTGGCAGATACCTGATCCAAGCAGTTTTTGCAGAAGTTGCACCTGGACAGCTTGCTTATGGGTGTGCCTTACATAAAATGATTCTCCTGTGTTTTGTGTCCACCAGGCAGGCCAGACGGCGCTGATGCTGGCGGTGAGCCACGGACGGCAGGAGATGGTGCAGGCCCTGCTGGAGTGTGGAGCTGACGTAAACGTCCAGGACGACGAGGGATCCACGGCTCTGATGTGTGCCAGCGAACACGGCCGCGCCGAGATCGTCAAGCTGCTCCTGGAGCAGCCTGGCTGCGACATATCCATCGTGGACAATGTAAGGCGGTTTTCTTAGCTGACTCAGCAAACAAATGAATCATATTTTTTCCCCCTCTGAGCCAAATGCCTTCGTTCAGTTGTTGTTGCCTCCAAGTGCTGAAAATCTGCTCAGGAAACGACTTCATATCTTATCGCTTTTCTCTCACACCACTTGAAATATTCTCATTTAAGATGATATGTTAACGAGCCACAATCAGATTAGTGTCATCTGCCTTTGACTCATCAGTGCTGCTGGAAGGAAACACAGTCGCTACGCGGCTCAACTGTCCCAGGGGAGGAATTAAAACCCTCTCAGTTCAGACACAAGGCCCTGCAGACTCTGGTTGATTCTCTGCACACTTCATCAAATGACCCGTAAACAAACCAACTGCTTGTTTGTAGAAAAACATGTTGAGCAGAGGTTTCATGAGCCAAACAGAAAACTTCCCTGGTGAAAAACTTGTTGGAGACCAAACTCTCCTCATTACTTCCTCTGAAGCCTCTTTTTTTCCCCTCCCAGCTCGGCCTTGTGATTCCTAAAGTGATTTACAGTGAATTGTTTTGTCTGGATACTTGGGGAGAAACCAGGCAGACAGATATTTGAGTGTTCACATCTGTGCCAGAATGAGTTGGCCATTTGGATAGAGTTTCAGCACAGCTGGACGATTGGAAAGGCCACTTCCCCCCCCAACCCCGCTGAAAAAACAAAGCAGCATATTAAACTGGGAGTACAGCTGAGTTACAGTGTGTGAAAACTGGGTTTGTGTCAGAGCTGACTTCTTTCTGGGATCACTTGATTAAGCATGAAACCTTGTATTTAGTCCTGCTGTCTGTTGCAGACAAATTTAATTCTTGACTAAAGAATTTATACCTAATTTTTCTTTTCTTTCTTCATCAATATGGACCTTTAGCGAGAGTCACCACACGGGAGAGGGAGAAGCAGTGGTGAGCACCGCGAACTAAAAGCTTAGTCGCGCTAAAGCTAACGCTAAATCACTACACCAGAATGGTATTTAGCAGAAGCTAATGCTAAAACGCTAACTTAAATTCAAATTCAATCTGCCCTCTAAAGACCCTTGAGCACCAATGTATTTTTTGACATAATTTACATCTTTTATCACCCCTAGATATTGTATTTCAGTGTTTTATTTTGTTTTCCAACACTACAACTTCTGATCAAAGTAAATCGCCCCTGCTGTAGTTTCAAAAAAGCTTTAATCTTTGCTGATGACATAGGAAAAAGAAGAAGACAGTTTTATTTATTTATATCAATAATAATGTGTTCATGCTAATATATTATTCATATATTAGCATGAACCATATATGGTAAAACTCACTGCAGGATCAACGTTAAGATCCTGGTGTGAAATAAGTGTGCTTCAATAAGTACCTGGTGCTTCATTTAAGACACAACACCAACACATGTTTATGTCATGAAACATACGTATGTCTGAAATAATTATTGAGGAAACAGACATGAGGAGAGGAAACTGAACTGCTGCTTAAAGAGTTTTCATCCCCTTTAAAATAACAGCATGAATAAAAATGTTCAACTACAACAATTAACAGTCACTAACCAAAACTTCACAGATTTCACAGCAATGATTATAAAACATGAATTTTTTGAAGATTTGCACTGTGGAAACCGACAGCCTCTTCATTAAATGAACCATTTTATCTTTTAAACTTTTTACATGCAAGTTTTCCTGTTTTTACAACTCATCCTGTTTAAGGCTTGTTAGCAGTGATTGTGGCCTATTTCCAAGATTTAAGTACATTTCCCTACACTTTCGAAACTGAAAAATAAAATAAAAACATTACCACACTAAAGCTGCTTCTTGGCTTGAAACAATAAATGCAATTGTGGTAAGGTTCAGAGACTCAGAGACTTTAATTTTATACCAGCTGGAGCTGCAAAGTGCAAAAAAAAAAAAAAAAAAAACACATACCCCAAACAACTGAAGCAAATGTGGTGTTGAATTAGTGTGGCTTTAAAAAAAAATCACAATTCAACTTGTGAAATTGTTCTAAAAGTACCTTTGGGTGGCTCCCTGTTTCCAACATGTTATAAATCCTGATGCAGTAATTTAAATAAAAAAACAAAACAAAGGATATCAAGAAGGATTTAAGAGGAATGTCCCGTTTTGTTTTTAACTGGTTAATCACAGATGTATGACACTAATTTGCCTGACCATAATTATCAAATTACCCAACCGTTGAAACCATCCACAATGTGAATCACGCGGCCCGTTAAAAACTGCAGTGCTCTCTGCTCAGACTCGGGGGATTTCATGGACAGTGATCTGATGCTTCCTCTCTCTGCACTGCTTCCCTCCGCCTGCAGGACGGCAGTAACGCTCTGTCCATCGCGCTGGAGGCGGCACACAACGACACAGCTGTGCTGCTTTATGCCCATATGAACTATGCAAAGTCCCAGACTACTCTGGTGAGTTCATCTGTTGCTTTGTGGAAAGACAACATGCCGATGTAGGCAACATGCAAATGATATTTAATATAACAATTGATTTGAAATAAGATAACTGAAAAACATGCTGAAGTTTATATAAAAGGTTAAAAAAAATTAATCGCATGCTTTAGAGTTTGAGAGAAAATATGTTTTAGCCAGCAAAAGTTAAGGGTGTGGATGGATCGATTTATAGCACACTGCTGCCCCCTTTAGGTTTTACCACGCTACTGCAGACAGAACTGTCAGAGAAGGAAGAATGAATTAAAAGGACTCCATCATAACTTTTTAAACCTTTGAATAGTTATCTTAATTCTGGGTAATTCATGTTAAAAAAACACTAATTATAATAACTTATGGAAATAATTTAAAAACTGGCATAAAAATAGCTGCTTAGCTCACAATCACTGAATCACAAACCTCATGTGTTTTCACTACAGTCTGTTTACTTTCTAGACATCCATGTATAGCAACATAGCCATTAGCATTTCCATTGCAAACGATATTTAATAATAAACATGGCTGCATAAATAAATGAATGTTTCCTAAAGTAAGAGTTATGGTGAACCTTTACAACTGAGCACATTTTACCCTCGGTCCAGCTAAAACGAAAATTGTTTAGAGCTGCTAAAATTACGTAAAAATGCAGCTTATTTTAACCACATCTAGTATAGAAAATCAGTTTTTTCATATTAGACTATTTGGTTTTTAGATATTTTTAATGATAGGAGTGTATACATTTTTATAGAAAATGTCAACATCTGCAAGATGAAAATGAAAGCCATGTCTATATTGCATGAAAACAGAGGAAATGCTGCTGAAGCAATAGTTTTTATTACTTTTTCTATTTAAAAAAACACTTTCTTTTGCCAAAATTATTAGAAGCCACAGATTACACTCTTGGACCGATCAATGCCAACAAATGACTCAAATTAGGAAACTTTATTTTATTTATAAGGTTATTTTTCAGCAATTATTTAGTTGAAATGTATTATAAACCCAAGCGTTTATAATACATGCAGTGTTTACATGCAGTGTTAAGTGTTTTACATGCATGCACATGTAAAACACTTAAAATAACAGCAAACACTGGCTAAAAAAAGAACTAAAAACACAAATTAAATACAAGTAAAAGAGCAATTAAATTTATTCATGTCACACCAATGAAAAAGTATAATTTCAATCCCCTGGAAAAGACAAGCTTATTGAATGTATAAGCAAAATAAAGTCAAATTGATCAAACAAGAAAATTACATGTTTACCGCTTTGTCCTTGCTGTAACACAGTGAGGTCCGGTTTTCTTTTTTTTTTTTTTTTTTTACACCAGTTGACCTTAAAAATAGTTTCCTAAGGAAACTGGGCAGACTGCTGACTCTGCAGTAGGGTTGTAGTGATTCAATAATCTCACAATATGATACACAATATTCTGCTCACGATACGATATATATTGGGATATCCAGCAAATGGTGCAATTCAATACACTTTTGCGATTTTCTGAAAGATTTTAGAGGGTCAGAGTGATTTTGGTGACATTTTGTGACTGTTATAGAGTTGGATTGAATTCATTTAACTGAAAACTGATTAAAATCATGTCCATGGACACAGACTTAAAGTCGACAGCTGGACAAAATTAATCAAAGTAGTGGTGAGAAAACATGTTTCTTTTAATTGAAACAGTGCAAACTGTAGTTTACATGCATTTGTAAAGTAAATAAAGTGCACCAAGTACCCTGCTCTGAATAGTTTGATACCTTTTTAACCTTGACACTTAACATCTGAAGGAATCACTCTAAGCCTCT